CCGCCCCCCCCCCCCCCCCCCATTTTACAGCTATCCAGGAATTTCTTTAGGTCATCTATCACTTCCTAAATTATGGATTAGAGTTGCAAGAGAGGAAGGGCTGGCAGGCAGAATGCCTTTTTATAGTAGTCTTGCACAAGCCTGGCCCCAGCTGCTCCAAATTAGCATGGGCCCAGTGGTGTAAATCAAGATGGATTCATTTGAATGCAGCTGTGATTATTTTTCCCAGCTGAGTGTTTGATGGGGGGGATGACTTTTTTGGTAATGTGCTTGTCACCCTTTGGGTTCATCATTAGATCTGGTGTTGAGAGTGCTTGTGCTGTGTGAGCTTCCTTGGCCCTGATGGGAGAGGAAAAGTGTGGGGGCATCCTGAAGGTGGTAGCATTTCCATTGCTAGCCAGGAGCAAATTTACTGCCAGCAGTAGTGAGAGCATCTGAAAAAACAAAAAGGATGGTGCCGGAGGTGGCCTCATGGAGATGGGCTCAGCTGTACCAGGGAAGGTGCTGGGAGGCACTGCGTGTGCCCTTGCAGCTTGGTGTGAGGATGGGGATGAAATGAGCAGTGCAAAACTGCCCATGCTGGGAAATAAAAGCAGTGAGGATAAAAGTTACCGTAGCAGCCTGCTTTGCAGCTCAGTGCTCAAAGGTGTATGGCAGCCAGGTGGGAGACCGTGCTCAGGTCTCCAGCTCGTCTCTCTTCTGGGAAGACTGAATATAACCCATCAGGAGTGTGTGTTACCCTGCTCCCGTCACCTCCAAAGCAGGGAAAACTTCTGCAGGATCTTAATTTCAAAGGGATACATGGAAAGGGAGCTCCCCTCCTGGGAGGGGCCACACCACTCCCGTGCCCTGGAGCAGTATGAGTATTGGTCTCCACCTTCCACACGTTCTCCTGTAGGACCAAACAGGAGCTGCCTTTGGAGCTCTGTCCCATGGCACCTCCTTACAGCTGGAGTGCAGTGTAGATCCCGAACATGGCTGTGCAGATATCCCTCCTCTTGGCAGCATTTTCCTTCCTGGAGCCCTGTTAGAGCTACAGTTCCCCTCCCGTTTAGCTATAATTAAAAGGATCAAGGTCTTGACCTCTGGAAACTCACTGTGACCCCATCATTGTGCAGCCGTGCCCAAAACGCTGTATTAAACTGGCAGGGAACATAAATCTGGGAGGAACTAATGAAGACCCCAAGGGCCACCGTTCTCCATAGCTGTCTTGTTAATGTGATCTAGGAAAGACAGGGGCCCCTTAATATAAAAACAAAGGAGAGATAAGAAGTTACTCATCAAAGTCAGGGAGAGACAGAATATCGTCGAGGAGGTGCTACAGCGCTGCATGAAGTATTGCAGAGCGTTGCACTGACAACCGAGCATCACTGCCAAGGGCACCTGGGGGGCAGTTAATCCTCCAAAACTTCAGTGACCTTCCTAGCCCATCCAAAATCAGCATCACTGTCAAAGGCAATGAAAGGTCCCATCCTCTGATGCCCCCCCCCACACACACACACTGTCAAAAGCAATGTAGAAGTGAAAGCCCTTCTGGTTTTCCCTTCATGCCAGTAGGGACTGAACAACTTGTGAACAGTGTGGTATGAGGGTCCCTCACTCATTTAAAAGGCTCGAGATCAACATTTTACCAGAGGCAGGAGAACTTTCAAAGGCACCCAAAGTGGCTGGCGCAGAGGGCTGAGGTGTGAAAAGCTGCCTAGGGCATTTCTGTACCCAGTGCTGGTTGCAGTGGTTGGAAATCCGGAATTGAATGCAACAGGCAGCATAAACATCACAGCCTGTGCTGCCTTCCCAAATACTCAGGGGTTGGTACCCTCAGGGGCAATGAGCAAGGCCATGGGTTGTTCTGTTGGTCAAATTAGCCTCTGCCAAGCCCACGCGGTTCCTGAAATCGGAGATGGGACTCAAAGTCTTTTGGTGATGAAGGTGGCAATGACAATGGTTTTGGGTTCGAGGGTCACCTCTGCAATGGCTGATAGGGTGGTCAAGCCTGGTGTGCCCAGGCACTTGCCCAGGTGGGGATGGTCTACTCAGGAAGCCTTGGTGGCCAGGGCTGTCGGCCTGTGGATGACAGCAAACCAGAATTAGATGCAACAGTGAGTCTCAGGTCCCCCAACTTGCATGTCCTTGGTCTCGACCTTCCAAAATGACTGACAGATGGATGGAAAAATTGCATGGGACAACAGAGAGTCAGGTAATGATTTTAAAACTGTTTCTAAGCCTGCTGCTTCGGCACAGTTCTCAGATGCTGCAGGACAGAATTACACTGGCTTTCCAGGTAATGCAGGCGCTGATTTCCCCTAAAATTGTGTTTTGGCCGCTCACAGTGCCATTGCTGTCCCAGCTGCCGTTGAGGATCCCAATGGCACCAGGAATCAGGTGGATTCCCATTGTGTTCATCTGTCAGCGAGGACAATGTGCCAAGAATGGATTAAACCTTGACACCAGAGACCTCGGGAGCCCCGGCACCAGCCTGTGTCCCTCACTAATCCTATTCTCTATTAATTTGTTATCCCATTAACACCTTGCACATTTCTTTCTCTCATTGCTGTGCTATCCTGAGAGACTTCTGGGGACCTTGTAATATGGTATTTTGTTGTTAAGAGTGTAAGCCAGCAAACTCTTCTCATCTGAGCCTAGAAATCCCTTGACAGAAAGAAAGAAAACCGCTGCTTTGTTTCTTTCAATCAATACTATCCATGAAGATCTGTGTCTAACAGCCCCGAGTCCAAGTGAATAACCAAACGAGCTACCTCCTGCTCTCTTAAACCTTTGGAAATAGTAAATGCTCTTCTAAAATGAACAATTTGATATCGCAGCCCTGTCTGGACCAGGCAGGGGGGCAGCTTTCCTCTCTGACATACGAAAACAAAATTGCTCGTGATTTTCAGAGCAGGCAATAGAGGGCAGAGAGAAACGTGCCCCTGCTTCTCCAGCGAGCCCCACAGTGCTGGGTGAGACGCCAGCAGGGGTAGACCTTCCCTCCCCAGCACTCCTGTACCGGCATGTTAGGGTTTGCAGGGGCCATAAGGTGTAAAACCTCTAGTATCAAGTCATCAGCGGTGGGAATTGTGGGGTTTTGTGTACTTTAGGGGCTGGCTGGGAGCTGAGCTGGCCTTGCTGTGCTGGCTGGGAGGTGTGGACTGTGGCACGGCAGGGGATTATGGGGAGTATGGTCCCTCTATGCCTCTGGAGTACAGCCGACTTCAGGCTGTCGTGCACCCACAGCAAGGGCAGGATCCTACCGTACTGTGCCCGCACTGGGAGTAAGAGGTTTCTCCCCCAAGAAGGGCTCAGCTAAAGCCTCAGGAGCCGCACGGTTCAAAACCTTCTCATTCCTATCTTAAACCTGTCGAAGTCCAGCTT